CTTATAGGGTAGTTGTGATGATATGATGAGAGACCTCCCATGTACCTTGGGAAAAGGATAGGTCAGAAGTATAGTAATGCGCCTTCTTACTTTTGGTTCTACTGTCTGGCTTGCTGTAAGGAAGGAGGAAGCACAAAGCTATTCCTCTAACAAGTCCTCTTTTTTTTGCACTCCAGACTGAACACTGTCCTCTGCGTCCTGATGGCTGATCTGCCTTTGCTGATTAAAACGACTTGGCCATCTGTAGTGATTAAGAAACAGTCAACCTGTTAGAGGATTTCCATTTAATCTTCGTTTGCTTTTTAACAGACAAATCAATTCAATCGATTTGTTAAAAGTACCCTTCAGGACCTCAAAAATGTACTTACAATGGTGAGTGAATGAATGGTCAGAGAGAAGCTGTTTCATTCCAGGGAGAGGGGTCTTTGGTCCACTGGACACAACCATTGAGCTACATGGACTTTGCTCTGGGCCTGGATGAATGGCAGGGATGGGTCCCTGGGGACTGGGAGGCCATGGGAAGATGGGTCATTTCTGGTCCTTTCCAACTCAGCAGTCCAAGATCCTACACCAGGGAGAAGGCGTGTAACTTTATATTCATGGGATTATGTGATGACTGTGTCTTAATGAATCGCAACACTGTGCAACTGAATGCGGTTGACACATGTGAAATGCACAATTGCAATGTGCAATGTGCCATGCACAACTGCAATGTGTAGTGCACAAAAGCACCACTTGTGCAGTTGGCACCACACATGCATCTGCAATCGTCACCTGAATACGGACTTCTGCATTGAATGGAAATGTCCAACTGCTTTGTAGAGGAAAATATGCAGAAGTAAGTCACTCACTGTCCACCAGCCCAGTCTTTAGGAACGAGGTTCACCAGCAACATAGCACCAATGTCAAATGATAATGGAAAAGCATCCCCAGTTAAGACTTCCCAGGCCTGGAGATCCTCCGGAGAGGCTCTTTGGGCTAACTAGAGATCCTGTTTCCTTTTTCTGGGTTCATATCCCTACTGGAGTTGCCAAGCGAAAAACAGGGCAGGGCTCCTGTACCTTTCACACTCATGTAGAAGAAGGGAATTAGAGCTGGTGTTGCTGGCCATGGAAGCTGCACCTGCTGAAACTCTTTCTTCTGCACAACCATTATAGGTGTAGGACCCCAGTCCTGTTTTTTACCCGGCAACCATTCAGGAGAAGGAGATCTTTTCAGGGGAGCACTTTGGGCAGCTCTTGGCACTGGCGATCCATCTCCTGGACTGAGGAAGGGAGCTCTGTGTTGCCCTGGCCCAGCCTTGGCTTTTGACCTTGCGTGTCTGCTTTCGACATTCA